ACTGCATATTTATGGGAGGCGCTAAAGTGACATGGCGTTAAACTAGATTGTATTATTGGATAGCTTATATTCTGCGCTGCGATAGATAAGAATTCGTTTGACACTTCATAAGCTCTCATCATTCTCTTTCTCGAATTAATAGTTGGCATTGTCCCCTTCAATTTCATCATATCCATGTGACTCTTCTCTCTCGCTAGTTGACCTATCGATAAAAGCCCAATTTGATTTTGTCGCAATATTTTCCACACTTTGAACACATGAACTGCTCATATGAGTGGTTCACACGATACTTGTTGCATAACAGAATTGACTGTTATACTGTGATGTACTGAAGTCCACTCTTGCTTAGTTTAGTGTCTCCATTACGATATTTACAAGTAAAATACATCTTGTTCTTTTACGATATTTGCAGTATTTGTTTTTTGATGATATGTAAGCGAACAACTTTTCCTTTTATATCAATAATGTTTCATATCAAAGATAAGAAGAAGAGTTACTCCAGAGAGAAAAAGAGAGAGTATTTCAGGTGTCATTAGGTGTTTTTCGTACTGCTCAGTCAAACAAAGTAAAATTCAATTTCATTATTTAATTACGATTAATTAATCTTAACATTAATTGTATTTAAACAAACATCGTACATGTCGTCTGATCCTGATGTTGCTCAACAAAAGGTAGTTGTATTGGCTGAATTAACAAAAGAACACAAGCTAAATCATGTTGAAAGTGCACCAACTGAATTATTATCAACAACACAAGCAAAAGTACTAATTGAAGTAACTGGTAAACATCATTTAAATCATATCGAAAGTCCACCGTCAGGTGAATTAACCGAAGCTGAAAAACAGGCCTATATTGAAGAAAAACAAACTAGACAATAAATATTATGTCAAACAATCATTTAACTATTCAAAATCTGAAGATGCATTTTTTTCGATGAAATAAAAAACTTTACGCAGTAAAAACATATATAATTTGTTTTGATTTCGTAGAAGTTTTATATGTTTTTCACTAAATATTTATTTCGATTTAAAAAGCTTTTATCAATGAAATTCTCGTTTAATGTGTTTTGTTGTACAATACACAGCGAATAGCTAAAAAAATCTCTGATTTTGTCGAATTATCCCCAGAAATATCGCCAAAATTAGATGAGTTATATCCACTACTGGAATTATCGGATGATTATGAAATTATCTCTGTTAAAATATTCCATCACAAGTGTGTTGCTGTACAATTTCAACATGTTTTTATCGGAAATAAGAATTGATTTTGAACATGATTAAATGAAAGCTTCTAATCAAATAGTAAAATAGTACAACAGTTATATATTTTATGACGAACACGTTTTCTATCTTTCTACGTTAGCTTTTTATTTTCATTTTACTTTGTTCTAGATTTCTTCAATGGCATCGACAAACATATATAAAAAACATTATCTAAGTAGCCATCGTTTGAACAATGATGATAATATTTATGTATTAATAACCTTTAAAAGTGATAATACATTTATCATAAAGAAGAAATTAAATCTTCATAGTGTGGATGAGAACGATTTGGTGACACTTAAAGATCATGATAAAAGTTATATTGGTTATTGTCTGTACGAAGATAACTCTTTATCATTATTAGAATGAAAATGAAGCTTTTAATCGGAAGCTTTTCTTTTTCTCACAGGATCCTTGGCTGAAGTAGAAACTGAAGCTGAACGGTTAGATAAGCAAATGAATACTGATTTAGAATCAGATTGTGAAACCGTAATGGATAAAATTGAATTAAATAAGCAACAACGATTACAAAAGCTCTCAGCATTAACACCGCTAACCAATTCAACTATTCAAATAGGCGGAACAACAATGAAAACAAATAAAATTAATAGTAGAAAAAATAACGACAAGTATTTCATGGCTGACTCTTCCAGATTGGTAATATTAGCTTGTCTACGTTAGATTCTACACACTCAACAATGCAATCGTTAGCTCATATGCCTCTTGATAGTAAGTTGAAAACTGCACTCATCATATTCATTAGAAAATTAGGTACTTTTGCCGCGCAGCACCAAATTAGGTAAAAATTGGGCGCTAGGTGCAAAATTTTTTCGGTGAATCCGACAGCGGGTTCCTTATAATTATACTTTGACATCTTTCCTGGTGTCGACATAATCTACGTGGTTTTTGCCTAAATTTTATTTTTCTCATTGGTTGA